GTGGAGCCTTGAAGGATAAACTGCTGAGAGGCTGTGTTCAAAGCTCGGTCCTGTAACAGCACTTATGTTTTCAATTAAATCCCCCTCCTCGTGACCTCCTCAACACAAAGCGTTCAAGGGTGAAGCAGTCAGAATTGGGTTTGCAGTGCATTGTGGGTTTATTCTGGACGCTTCCTCCCACGTCGGTGACAGACTTCCCCCCGTCCGCTCGCCGGATAAGCGTACGTAGGCGGGAGAAGTGGGTTACGCACAGGAAACAGAAAGCTCCTGAGGGATGACACGGGGGAAAAACAACAACAACAAAAAGACAAAAACAACGGGCGCCCGACATCACAACAACAAGGATGGAAAGTTAGAAGAGGAGAGACGCCGCGTCAGCTCGGTTCCGCTGGACCGCAGCTGCTGCTCGTCTGAGCGGAGCGGGGAAGAGGAGGATGTAGTGTTCAAGGGGAAGGTGGGTAAAGTGGAACCTCTAGTCAGTGATACTACGGGAGCAATTTCAGGGGTTAAGTGTCTTGCTCAAGGACACATCGACATGCGACTATTGGAGCCGGGGATCGCACCGTCGATCCTCTGATTGAAGGACGACCCTGCTCTCCACTTAGCAACGGTCGCCCCCACATTACAGAATGTTCACCCAGCAATTAGCATTATTCTTTAAAGAAGAAGACGCAGTAGCTCCAAGGCTGAATGTTCTAATGAGACACATGCTTAAAGGGTAAATTACCTGCTCACTATTTTCTCATGTGTTTTGTGTCTTAAGTGACTTAATTGGGACGATAATATTGGTTCAGTATTGAGCGCGAACAGCCTGCGACGTAATCGCTCAGGGCGACTCCTCACCGCCAATGAACGTCCACTACAACTGCTTGTTTTTGCCACCGACAGGCTCAGATCGTCATTCTAAGCGTCTGACAACATTGTGGGAAGCACTCTACGGAGAAAACCTTTTCCTTCACCTTCAGCTTGATTCAAATTGTTTGTCATTGTGTCCAAACCGAGTCTCGCTGAAGGAGAAATCTCATGAGAGGCGACGTGTTTACCGGGAGACAACGTCGGAAACAAGAGTGAAAGTTGGATAGATTGGTGTTATTTCAAAGATTTTCAAAATAAGGGCTGAATATTTAGCTGATTTCTTTGGTCTTTGACCGATTAATCACCGTTAATGTTTTTTTCTTATTTTACTAGCCCCTATACAAATGGTTTTATCTATTAGGCGGTTACCAAACAACAACAAAGACCAAGTAAATTGTCATGGTTAATCTTTACTTGAAGTAAATATATCTGCAGTTTGGCCCACATCCTGTAACGCCACCCAGGATTCCAGGATGTTTCCAGGATAAGTGAAACGCTCGCTTGCGCCTCAGCTCACAACTTTTATCGCCGCCGTTTTCTCGCAAAGTGCCTGATCACTACTGAGTGGATGCAGCTGTCAACAGACGTGAGCAGGAAGCGAGATGGCTCACTCCTCAGGAAAATCAATGTGATTTTTCTCTTTCACAACTTGCTGGAGTCGCTTGATGTACTAACCCAATGTGGCATTTTACTTGCCCCAGGCAATCCTTATGGCTGAGCCCTGAGAAGTTTAAGGTAATTGTACTATATCATATTACATTTGTAGGCTAGAAATGTACCTCAAAACTATACTTTTGTACTTAAGTAAATGTACTACTTTAAATCCTAGTAAAACACTTTAAATCCTCCCCATCTTTGCTTTAGATGTCACTGACTGTCAGCATCCTGTCGGCTACAGTACATGTCCACTCTGCACACACTGGTCTGTGCCGGAGCTCTTAAAAAATGTGTTCACTGTCTCATGCTCTGCATATTGCACCGCTTAATCCACTTTGCCTTATCTGCCACTCTGCCGTATCTCCTCCAGGGCCCTGCGTGAGGCGGAGCACCCTCCCCAGGAGAAGAGAGCTCAGCTCGGCCTTTAACTGATCCGACCCTCCTACTGCTCACCTCCGCTTCACCTTCTCAATAAAGAACCTCCTCCTCATCCCAGGGGGGAGGGGGCCCGACTGCAGTCTCCCAGCTCTCCTACACCTCCATCCTCTTGGCTCCCGCCGATCAGTCCGCCCTTTCCCCGACTCTGGCCACCCCCTTCACCCCTCCCTGAGTCTCCCCACGGGCGGCAAGTGCATGGCGGTAACTTCAGCCCACGAGTTCCACTGGCAGAGCCTGGCGCGACTGCCCAGCGGCCGCGTCTACCACACTCTGTCTGAGGTGGGGGGGCAGATGTACATGCTGGGGGGCTGCGACGCTACTGGGAGGCCCTGCCCGGCCCTGGAGCTCTACTCCCCCGAGGTACCAAACGAACGCACCATGGACACTGTATCTGACTTTCTTTCCTGGCTCCTGGCTCGGAATAGACAGTACATGACAAAGTGCTATTAATTAAGTAAATTATTTTGTAAAATATTACTTCAATTTAAAAAAGGTCTGTTTTTATAGTAATAAAGATGGCACCAAAAAAAATCTGAATTACTAAAAGACAATGGGAAATAAAGATGAAATATAGAAATAATAAATATAATTTTCCTGGCAAATCAACAGCAAAGTACTGTCTGTACAGTAGCTGCATTTCAATTTCCACTCTGCAAATTGACCATAATTTATTTAAACTCAAGTTACCTTAAATCCCCCCTGAAGACACAAATACATTGATTTAAATTGTAACTAAACTAGCTCTGTGTATGAGGCAAATCCCAGCACTGAGGGTGGTGCATCAAATAGAAAAATAAAGAATAAAACCCAAGAGAAGTTCAACCTGTAACACATTGAAAACTGCTTTTGCCTGAAAGCAGCCGCTCGTCTCCGTGTTTGCAGGGCGACTGCTGGATGAGCCTGCCCCCCATGCCCACCCCGCGTGCCGGTGCGGCCGTGGCGGTGCTGGGAAAGCAAATCCTGGTGGTGGGAGGGCTGGGGGAGGACCAGAGGCCCCTGAAGGTGGTGGAGATGTACAACACGGAGGAAGGCAGGTGGAGGAAGAGAAGCGCCCTGCGGGAGGCCTTGATGGGTTTATCCATCACCGTGAAAGGTACGGAACGAAATCATGACGAGCAGGACAACGAGTGACTCCGGGGTTTACAAGTTGTGAACTCGTTGCACGTATGTGTTAATTAACTTTTATGTAGTTAAAACTCAAACAGGAAGTTTGAACACCTCAAACAACCTTTAGTTGACTTTAATCGTAATCAAGAAGTCTTTTCTACAGTCAATTTTCCCATTTGATGTCAATGGAGCAAGTTTTTGGGCCATGACGTCCGCATTTATCCTCACATTTTCGGGTTCAGTTCCACTAGTCTGTAGACACAAACAGAGAGCCTTTGATGAGTTTGAGCTCAGTCCAGCGGTGCATCCGTCAGCGTCTACTGGAACACAGATAAATGCCGTGTACACACACACTTATTGGCGGCCTCCTCCATCTTCCGGACCAATCTTCCAATCCTCGGCACCTCTGCTCGCAGTTTCCTCCCCAGATGCCGAAAACGAGACAAATCGTCTGCCAAAATGATCGATGGGGCCAAATTAAAACAAATATGGTATTTTTGAACGCATAGTCGGTCACCGATTGGATATTGACATTTGTAGAATCGTTATTTTCCAGATATTAGATAATGAGCTCCAGGTAATGAGCTTTTCTATTCCCCGAAATGAATACAGCGTGTTTGAGAAACTTTTCTCCCTTTTTGGAAGCACATATGTATCATTTCTAAAGAAGAATAAAGAGAAACATAATAAACTGCAGACTGTTTCCCTGCAGCTCTTTTCCTCTTCCCTCGTCAATGCTGCATTTTCGCTCGTGTCGACATTCTCACCCACTTCCATTCTTGCTGTAGAGGTGGCATGCCGAGGTGCCAGACATGGACTCTCGTGTTTTATTGTTCTGCTGCTGTCCTCCCTGTCCTCCCAGTGTCTGCCACAGTCTCTTGCTCCGTCACAAACTTCTCAGCCAACTCTGCAGCTTTGCAGATTTTTAGCACATAAAATAAAGTCCCAACGAGGTGTCTCCATCTGCTGCGATTGGTCTTTGGCAAGCTGGTTATTGTTGAGCAGGTTGTTGTTGTTTGACTCATTTTAGCAGCCAGACTGTATACAGAGACAGACGACGTGACAGTGAAGCCAAAACATCTCGATCGCCCCCCTGGTGGCTGGCTCCGCCCCCTCCACGTTAGCGGATGGGAGATGGGCCAAACTAAAAAATCTAAGTACACGTCAAATAAGTAGTTCCCAAAGATGGTTTCTGTCCTTTTAGGTAGTTGTTATCACGTTGATGTGTGTTCAAGTTTCAAGTAATTATTTGATGCTATAAAAAGCACATCATGATTGACAGCTGCTCTGAGAGAAGTGGTCACGTCAGGCAGCAACCTGCGATTCTGAAAAGTGAAGCCAATGCTGAAGTGCCTCAAACTTGCATTCTTTCTAATGGCCATCAGGGGGCGACTCCTCCGGTTGCAAAAAGAAGTCAGATTGTACAGAAGTCTAAGAGAAAATGACTCCACTTCTCTCTTGATTTATTACCTCAGTAAACATTGTAAACATGAGTTTATGATCTCAATCTATAGTTTCAAGTCTTCTTAAATACAGCATGATGTTCATTTAGTAAATTATGGTCCATTTAGAGCCAAATAGACCATAAAGCAGAGTATGCTTTAGGGCGGGGCTACCTTGTCATTTCTGTTAATTGGTTGCAAAAGAAAATAGCGTGAGGATGGCCAAAATGGCGAACTCAAGGCTTCAAATCGCAGTCCACAAACAAATGGCTGACGTCTTGACGACTATGTCCACTTTCTATATACAGTCTATGGTAACAGTACATGTGTCAATTTGATCATGAATGTATTTATAAAGATATATGGGTAGTAGTTGTGTCTTTCTAGCCAAACAGCTAACGTGGTGCTAACGTACCAGCTAGGTGGCTCTCACGCTAACATGCTGTGACTTTGCTCGGCTCGTGGTTGGCTCAGGCATGTTTATGGGCGGGCCATTGATATCTTGTCTCCACCCCCTGTTCAAATGACGTCATAAGCGCAAGGTGAACAGTGGGAGGAGGCAGAGACGCTTTGTCCATCTTTGTATACAGTCAATGATAAAATCAATGCATTAGATGAAAATTGTGGCCTGCTAATCTGATACATTGTCGCTCTGCCTGTGTGTGTTTGTGTGTGTGTGTGTGTGTGTGTCTGTGTGTGTGTGTGTGTGTGTGTGTGTGTGTGTGTGTGTGTGTGTTTGTAGATGGCCGGGCTCTGGCTGTAGGGGGAATGGGTGCCGACCTGCTCCCTCGTGGCATCCTGCAGCAGTATGACCTTCGAAAGGACTTGTGGGCACTACTTCCTCCCATGCCGACCCCTCGCTACGACGCCAACACGCATCTGCTGGGCAACAAGCTCTACGTAGCAGGTACAAGCACAGCAGTGAGGGGGGGGTTACTCCAATAGCTTCACTGTATGTGTCAAACAACAGAAATGTATTCTCCAAATTTCAATATGCACCCTCGAAGCATCTATAGAATTCTAATTTGTTTTCTTTTCATACAATCTTTCAGCCGGTCGGCAGTGTAAGCGACCCGTGAAGGCCTTCGAGGTGTACGACACAGAGACGCGCTCTTGGACTACGCTACCCATCATGCCTTGTAAACGATCGTACGGGGGCGTAATATGGGACACGACCGGGAGGCTGTGTCTGCTCGGAGGACTGCGGCAGGGAGGAGGACACCAGACCTCTAAGTTCACCAAGAACGTCAACATTTTTGACACCAGCCAAGGTACAAAACACGTTTTCATATTTGGACTTTCATTTATTGTCATTTGAGTTACGTATTTTGGTTGAAACTCCTCCCCTGTTGAGCCACACTTCATGAACTAAAACACACAACACACGCTACGTGACAAACCGTTGTTCGAATCCTCTGAATTTCCGGCACACGCGGATTCCAAATATGTCAGATTTAATTGCACAGAAATAAGCATCAAACAATCCAGCTGGAACTGCAGATGCAACACACGGCTTCTTGACTTACTTCACTTGAGCAGGATGTGACTGCAGTGAAAAGTTGGAATGAGGACAAAATATCAAGAGGGGTTGATGGCTTTTGAATACTGCTTTATATGCAGCTCTGTATCCCAAACTCAAAAACATCGGTTTATTTGACTTGTTGGAACGGTGTAGTTTGTATAAACTAGAGAAGGTTTTAAAAGAATAGTTCTACACTAGAGAGATATTCATATTTCCTTTCTTTTAGATGGGGAAAAAAACGATGGATTTCAGTCCAAATTGAACTTTATTGCCATTATGCTTGTGTACAACAAAACATCATCTTGGTTAGTTTAGCATATAGAGTGGAGGCTGGGAGAAAATATCCCTATCAGCAACTCTTTAACGGTCTGATTTGCTCAATGTTTCCTGCTTGTAAAAAGTGTGCATATACAGGTAAAAATGACAATTTGTGATGTTTTTCAACTGGTAAAGCAGCACATGAAGTTGGTTGGAGCAGGTTTTGGTTTTGGTCTCTGTCGAAGCACAAAAGTGCCGACCCTGACAACCTCTCTGTGGGGATAAAACTACGCACTGCGCCTGGCTGTTGTTGTTCAAGAAATTATGAAGAAAAAGTTGCAGCCATAAAACCACAAATTGTCTCTTACAGTGGTGGGGTGTTCAACAGGAACTCGACTGTACATATCAAAGTCTGTTTACAGGTTTTTGGGAGTACTACGGCATATGTGAAAAAGGTTTTACAAAGTCTGCCTGACATCACCTGTTTGAGGATAGGGGATTAGCTGCTATTAGCATAGTACACGTTCGTCGAGTTGCATTGTGGGTCTTGTAGGAGCCAGGTTTCAACAATGAAGATGATATCTCTGATCCTACTGAACTGCTTTTTATTGATGGAGTCCTCTTAAGCAGTCAGATTTTCAGCTAGCTAGCTAGCAAGGCAAGATGTTTGTCCCTGTTTCCTGTCTTTATGCTAAGCTAGGCTAAATACCTCCTGACTTCAGCTCCATACTTAACGCACAGATGTGAGATACAACATCAATCAATCTCACATTCATAAAAAAGAATAATCATAATTCAAAAACTTGTCCTTTACATTCCTAGGTGAATCAAAAAAACAGTAATTATGTTGTGATATATTTTGGTAGCAGCAAAAGTCTCATCGTCTCCTTCGCTGACAGCCACCATCTTCATTTTGACTTTACTGTCAGACAAAGCAGCCATTAACACCAACCATCGGTGCGAGGAGAAACGTTCCACTCTGTGAAATGACTTATCGCTCCATTCAGCAGAGACACCCCCAGAGTAACAGGTGAACAAATTGAGGAGGGACCGAAAGGAGGAAGGGGAGGGCGAGAATCGATAAGTCATTTTCGACAGCGGGATCGGTCCAACGGAGGCCAAATAAAGCAGAACGTGGGAGGGATAATGTTAACGTATGATAATGGGGAGGGAAAGTTTGCCTTGTGTGTGAGAGATGGAGGGAGAAAGAGCGAGGAAAAAAAGGCCGTTCGACAGACACAACACAAGCTGATGCATATCCGCACACACGTGCACACATATGGGGCAGCCGTGGCTCGTTCCTCCAATCTAATTTAGGTGGAGATGAGATGGGAGATGAGCTGCGGAGGGAGGGCTGGGGGGGCGAGGAGCGCTTTAAATTACAAGATCCAGAAACAGATTGCTTTATTATCCATCTGCAGCAATATCTCTCCACACACACACACACACACAGGGCTATGCAATCTGCTGTCACACAGTGATATTCTATTACTGTTCCATTCCATATCGGGAGTATTAAGACACACACGGCTGTTAGATGATGATTTGGCATTGTGGGCAAGCTGCAACAAGTACGACGGAAAACACAAAGAACGGAGCTCTGGAAGAGAATTCACACAAAGAATGGAAACAATGGCCTCAGGAAAAATAAATGAAATATATATACTGTATATATATATATATATACACAAATAAAATCATGTCAGTTGAGGATTCATATGCCAACGTTTTGAGGTATCCGTCTGCCTCCACCACAATACAAAGCTTTCAATGCCGTGCGAACCACAAACAAATTCTATTCACTTCTTTTATATTCCGGCAGAGGTAGTAGTAATCTCAGAGACGGGAATCTGAAAACGTGGACAAATGAAGTGCAGCATTGCTGGATACTGCCCGGTTTCCACCACAGTCACTTTTCCAGGAACCCTGGAACTGTTCTACAAACTCAGAACCCTTCTGTGTGAGTTATACTCGGCATAGTCGAGCCTGCGTGAGATGCCCTCGTGATTCAACTTTTGTTTCTTTTTAATGCATTTAATACTTGCCTTCCCTCTTTACGGGGCCTGTATGAAGGCAATAAAGTAACCCATGAATATGAGGTATGGCTTTGCAGTAGATTCCTCCTCAGCATTGTGAAGGTGTCTTTTTGGCGTTTTGCCGGCAACACTCGTTTGTCTCCTTGATTCCTAACAATACATTTTGTTTGTGCACCCGCTGGCATTTTCAGAGAATATTGAAACCAACAGCGCCTTGAGCATAAACGCCTTTGTGCTTGCTCGCAGCTTGCGCGCCATCTGTGGAGGCTCACAACACGGAGCCTCTCTATGAGTATAAACAAAGTTGTGATGCTGTATTTACACCAAACTCTAAGCATATTTTAGCCTCACTCTACTCACACAGAAAGAAGTTCACCGATAAATGGAGTTGAGATCAGCCAGTACTAGGCTATGCTAACTGAGGAGCTTCTCCATCAACACTCACAAGCACGTAATCTAGGCAGAAATACGGCAGCGACGTTATTGTCTTTGGTTTATGCACATTCATTTATACACATATATGAGGGACTATCATAGATTTCTTTCCTCCATATTTTATTCAACAACGCCAGAGTGTCAGTGGCTACTAGAGGAGACTCTTAACATCTTCATGCATGAGCCTCACTCCGGGGGGTAACACCGAACTATTAGTTCTAGAGTTTGTAGCGCTGAACGTCACTCAGCTTTAAATACAAATGCTCAGAACCACTACTAAAGGGCTGGGAGATTGGAGTATATTGTTGTTTTTTGTATTCAATTCTGAATCTGTGAATTAAGGTTTATTTGCACCAAACCAGAGTTGGTGATTGTTGGAAATAGTGGAAATTGTAACCAAGACCGTTTTAGTGAGTTTTCTTTTCTTTCTGTCAAGTTTGAATGAAGTGTGTCTTACGATGCTCAAACACATCGGGGGGGGGGGGGGGGGGGGGGGGGGGG